CCGAGACAGACAGGACAGTTTGACGACAGCGGTACCGAGGTGATTTATGGAGTTTCCAGATGGACTTGTTGCTTAAAGAAGCTAACTGTCGCTACAGTAATGTTAGCGACAGTTAGCTAGTAAGCTGACTTCGGGATGGCAGGAGCCAAAACCGCCAATAAAACCACTTCAGTACTTTATTCCCTGTAGTCAAACTGTCCTCCGTCAGCATCAGAAGCTGCATTCAGTCCCGGTCTGGACCTGCTGTTTACTGGGAGCTCGCAGTCCACCAGAGTCTGCTAATGGATCCACTACAGCTGCTGGACTGGGGGGACGTAACACACAGCGCTATCGGCTACTGCAACAATCCCTCAGTAACTGCCTGTTTTTACAGGAAATACAAATTAAATATGAGGACGCAAACAGCTCTCTGATTTCTGTTTCAGGTGGACTTTAAGGAATCTGAGTCAGTTCAGGATTATAAAGTCTTCACAGTCAATCAGTGATCAATCAGGACCCTAGAAAATAACCCCTAACTGCTGAATAGAAGCCAGTAATGAAACCTCACTGTTTCAGTATCAGTGTCTGCTCACCGATCTGGATGCAGATTCAAGTAAATTAATAAATAACCACTAATACACAATTAAGTAATCAATTATAACTGCATAATGAAGCCGACCAGCCCCACTTAGAGGAAGCAGAGTGTCTCCATGTGTGGCTCATCAGTCTCCTGGAGGCCATTGATTGAACACAACGAGGCAGCATTCGAATTCAAATCACTCTTACGACTTATTAACATAAATATTCACACTCGGAGGGGTTTGGATGCTAATTCAGACGATTTAAAGAAACAGTTAAATTGCACGTGTTAACAAAGTGGGTGGATAATCGCAGCTGTCATATAAAATCCAATTCTTTTGGTTCAACTTTAAATTTCCAGGCGTTGATCTGCTCCTCGCTCTCCTCCCCGTCGGCTGTTGCCGCTCACACCGGTGTGGGTTTTTCTGCAGAGTCATTTACAGTAAAGCTCTTTATTCATTTCAAACCCTCTGACGGCTGAAGCCAAACGACACACAAGAGAGAGAAAGAGAGAGAGACCCGAACGAGACGACAGTCTAATCACATCCGCTCCCTGACATTTCAGTTATATATAATATATATGTAACACATCGCATTGTCCTTCATGGCGCAGGGACTCCACAGATATCAATAAAGACGCTTCCTGCATACAAATATCACCTTCCTACATCTTTTTATTCAGTGGATGTTTAGGTCCTTTCTGTGAGAGCTGTGTCTTATTCCAGTGGCTTTTATTGTTTATTGTTCGGTACCTTGACCTTGACTTTGGTAGCATTTTTAAGGATTTTTGTGTTTAAAGCTGCAGTAGGTGACTTTCATGAAAATAACTTTTTGTCATATTTGCTGTAACTTTCACTACATCCTGACAGTAGAACATGAGACAGATAATGTGTGAAAAGATCTGGTTCCTCTGGCTCGTTCTAGTGCTCCTAATAACGTCTATAAGAATCCACTGGACCCGAATGAAAACAACCAATCAGAGCTGAGAAAGATGGTTGATTGGTGACTCTCATTTCCAGGGCCTGAAATACAGAGACTAGACTAACAATCAGCTAGCCCATAGCATCTGTCCATCTTTCTTGGCTCTGATTGGTTGTTGTGGTTTGGGCCCAGTTGATTCGGTGGATATAGCAAATGGCCCCGATTTTATTTTACAGAATCACTCGCAATCTATATTTAGACGCCTGTTTTATTCCGTATTTTGTTGGACTGATGCAATCAGTAACAATGATCAATGAATCTCTGAGGAAGCTTTAAAGGACCAATGTGTTGGATTTAGTGGCAGCTAGTGGTTTGTAGTTTGCAACTCACTCGCTTCACCCTCCCCTTCCCAAGCGCAAAGAGGAAACTACGGGGGCTATGAAACATTGCTTAAAACATGAACTGCTCTATCTAGAGTCAGTGTTTGGTTTGTCTGTTCTGGGCTACTGTAGAAACATGGCAAACTTCACCTCTGTTCACTGTCTCATTCTAAGGTAACAAAAACACAACTTTTCTTATTATATTTCTTATATTTTCTTATTTTCAGGTGATTAAACTCACAATGAAAACATACCTATGGATATAATATCACATTTCTGACAATAGATTCTCCTCAGTGTTTCATACTGGACCTTTAAGGTTCATAATACACTTCGATGAGTAATATAATTGTGAATCTGAGAACAAAAAACCAACCTTTTTACGATGTGATGAAGATCAGTGATGTGGAGACTAAATAGTAGTTTTGGTTGCGTTCAGGTGACGAAGGAATGAGGTAATTATGAGGTCAGATGACGGAACAGGAAGTTATCGGTGTGAAAACTGACGAGTGAAAAGTGTTTCTTTATGCTTTGATTAAACTATCTTGAAGGTGGCGGCGCGGCAGCGTTTCTGGGTCACTGTTTCCATCAAGCTTATTACCAAAAAACAACCACATTTCTAACTAAACCCAAATAAACTAGTTAGATTAACGGGATTAGTGAGATTCAGACATTAATTCAGTGCGGCATTCCAGTCAGAAGTGCATGTACAGTATTTGTGCAGCGCTAATGCTGGATAATAAAGGGATGAACGATCCAGGGGCATTAAACTGGACTGAGCTGTTTCCTCACAGAGGTGAGATTGTTGCATTGTTGAACAGATGAGGGCAGTTTGCCTGCGGCTGAACAAAGATGGAAGTTAAAGGGAGGAAAAATCCACCTTAAAATTACATTTATAACATGATTTTATTGTTAATGTGGACATTTTGGGAAATAATCACTTTTAGGCAGAGAGATGGTTCCCTGCGCTAAGAATGAAGCTACAGCCAGGAGACGGTTAGTTTAGCTTAGCATAAAGACTGGATCCAGGGGGAAGCAGGTGGGGTTGGGAACTGAAAATTGGTTCCAAATTAGAAGTGAATCCAAACTGCGAAGACTCGTGTACTCATTAAAACAAAATTTAAATGTAGCTGTAGTAACTGTATCTCAATCTGTGTGTGCAACAGTGATGGAGTCATTTGAACCGCCATGACTTTACAGTAGGGTGTTTCGCAGCCACCGTAGTTTCTCCAAGTTTTGAGTTGCAACCTCACCACAACGTTCTTTAAATACAGGATACACTGTAAAACATACTGTAAATAAACAGTAATTTACTGATATACTGTGTACTGTGTGTTGTAAATTTACAAGAATACAGTAATGAACTGTAACTGTACAAGTACAATGTAATTCTGAAATACAGTAAGAAACTGTACATAATAAAGTACTTTGCCAGTTAATTACTGTAAATTTACAGTGAAAAGTCTTTTAACATGGCGGACTCCGCCACTGTAGATAAAAACATCTCATTCTAAGGTAACAAAAACACACTGATTCTTATTTTCAG